TCTCTAAGGGGACGCGTTCCTGACAAAACTATAAATTCAAAACTGCAACAGGTCTTTCTTTCCACATTATTGTCCTGCCATTCTCTGTGTTCTTTCAGAAGCCATAGATGTTTTCAATATTTCCTTAATTTTAATCTGGGAAGAGTAGGAAAACAGCTGAAAGTTGCAGATCCCTAATTCAAAGTGTTGTCGTTAAGTCGGTGAATTATGGAGTGGACAGAACCCTGCTGAGCCCAGTATGTGCTGAGAATCTGGCCTGGAACATGAAATCCAGTGGCAGCAAATATTTTACTGGTCACCCTCGGAAAGAAGCCGGGATCATAATTTTAAAAGTTGGTGTCAACTGTCCAATCAGCAGCTGAAATCTTGCTTCTTCTTGGGGTGGTAAACCACAGTACAATAAATTAACTGAATCAATAGAGATTAAGTAAATCAGCGCTTTAGATTCCATGGATGGGCCATTTCTATTTGCCACTTCCTGTACTATACTATGTTGCAATTTGAGTAGGCCTATTGTAATCAATGCAGTTTAGGGGGGATTTAACTCACCTAATCCCAACGACTGGCTGACTGACTCCCAAAGAGTCAATGGGCCTTCTTTGGTGCAACTTACTAAGCAAAGTAAAAGGATTTTATCAGTTGTATAAATCTCTGGTCTTTAATATTTTAAAATAGCCTCAGACACAGACAACACGAGGGAGCTGAGAAATCAAATGAACACACACGGGACATTTGTGGGTAAAAACAGAAAACCAAATACATATAAATCTCCAGACAAATTATTTTTCCCCTTCGACCACCAGATTCCTCTATGCTGGAGATTCTGTGTTGCTCCCAGAATTCTCTGCAAATCCTAGAGTAAAATTTTCCACAGCTGATGCCATTGAAAATCAGCAAGCTGGGAATGATAAAACAAGGAAGAAAAGCCTATAATTGCAATTAGCAGTAGGATTCCAGCAGAAAGAAACAGAGACTTCCAAGGAAAGGCTCCTTGCGTCTCTTCTGGTTTTCCTCAATGATTTATTTCTTTTCTTCCAACTCTGTAACTGGATGTTGAGATTTCCTGGGCCATTGAGGTCATCTGGGTGAGTTAACGGGAATATTGGGAGCTTCTCAGAGGGAACAGAAGGTGAAACAGAGAAGATGGCTTAGCAATGGAGGATAATGCAGAGACAGAAAGAGAGACTGTGTGTTCTTCCCCTTGTGCTTGAGCTGGGGCAGGAGAGAGTTTCTGCAAGGGTCCCTTTTGAGACATACAAGCCACAGAATCCTGTAGATGATGGACAGCTGTTCTGGCCCGTATTTCCAAAAATGTGGACTGTCTGTTAGGAGGCTGACATTTCACCTGTGATCATTCTCTCCCTTCAACTGTTGTTCCCCCTTTCGCTGCAACCAACCTTGGTGTCTTCCAGTCCTCTATAGCAGTGGTCCCCAACCTTGGGGCTCCAGATGTTCTTGAACTTCAACTCCCAGAAATCCTGGCCAGCAGAGGCGGTGGGGAAGGCTTCTGGGAGTTGTAGTTCAAGAACATCGGAGGCCCAAGGGTGGAGACCTTTCTGTGACTTTACATGTGAGGAGCTGAACCTTCTCAAAGCCCCACTCCATTGAGCAAGGAGAACCCCTCATCCTCTGTGTTTCTTCCTGCCTTTAACTGCCCACCAACTGACCTGCAACGTATGGTAACCCAATGAATTAGCGGTCTCTCAAATGCTCTGGCCTTACCAGCCCTGCTTGGCTTCTCCAAACTCACTGCCCTGCCTTTCTGTGCTGAATCAACCTATCTCGTATTTTGTTTTCCAGTTGTTCATGCACCTTTACCAGGAAAGTTTTGGATTATGGACAGAACTAGTAGCAAAGAAGAAGCACAGATTTATACTGTATTCTCAGGCTATGCCATTTAGATTTTTGGGACTCCAGCTCTCAAAATTCTCAAAAAAAAATTCCCAAGGTGATATTTCAGTCCAGAGACTCACACATTCAAACACCAATATTTCCCTCACCTCCAAGTTGGGCCTCATACTATGAAGGCTACACTTCTGCAATGCCTCCTGGGTGTTGTAGTCTCATAGCTCATTTTGTTCTCCAGGGTGCGCCTCTCAAAAACTACAATGCCCAGAAATTATTGCAGGAGGAACTGAAGACCTGGACTGCAGCCTCAAAGACTAGACCTTCCAACAGGTGAGGGAAAGGCAGGTGTTTGAAGCTGTGAGTCTGTGAACCGGGATTCTCAAAATTCTGCCAGGGGAATTCCTGAATAATTTGTGGAGTTGGAGTGCAAGAGATTCAAATTGTCACATCCTTACTATCTTCTCTCCGTGGGGTGAGGGAACTTTATCCCTCACATCTGCAAGCAACTGTGGTCCCAACGGTAGCCCTAAAAGGATTGTGCTCTATTGAGGCAGGCGCTAAAAGAGGGTTGAGCTCTGGGAAAAGAATATCATGGAAGGAAAGGCTCCTTTTGAGGGTAAAGAGAAGCAGCTGTGGACAGCAAGCGATGAAGGAGAAGACAACAGCGATAAAGGTATTTCTCTCCCTTCAGAGGTCCTTTCAAATCTGCATGGTAAAGAATTTTTTAAAAACACCAAGAATTAAATGACAACATTTAATTAAATTTAGATGGCTACGCTCAGAGACTACCAAAAATAAACAATTGGGATTCAAATAAATGGACAATGATGCCAAAATGGATAATGATGCCAAATCAATTCTATCATTTAATTTTGGACAAAAGCCATGAGAATTAAGGAACCGAAAATGACACACTTCTGAAATAGAATAAATAAATAAATTCACTTCTGAAATAGAATGAATGAATGAATGAATGAATGAATGAATGAATGAATGAATGAATGAATGAATGAATGAAACGGAAAAAAAGTTGAACGGATATCTGCCCCATTGAGATTTTATACAATATAAACATTTTATATCTGTTTGATCTATTTTTATATGGACCTCATAGTTATTAGTCCCAACCAAGCTTATTTTGGTATGTTTTGATTTGTCTGAATCCAAAGCATAGCTCAGTATCAGAGTATATGTTGCACCTTTGTTTAACCCTTTGTCTAAGCCCACTAGCTAATGTTGGATTGCAATTCCCATCATCCTGAAATGAGACTATGGCCGAATGATGGTTCAGGTAGCCCAACCACATCAATATTGAACAGGGACTGCTACCGGGAAGTTGTATGCTCGTGCTTCCAACAAGTACCAACCAAAGCTCTACAGATAACTCTCTAGAGGGGTGTTGCAGGATCAAGCACAAGAGACAGGATGTCATCAGGCTATTTTTGCCTTATTTATCACTGTGAATGAATTTTAGTATTGGATCTAAATTTACTCTCAGAATCCCACAGCCTACAAGTCCAAAGAGAAACAGCTGAAGAAGAAAACATTGAGGAGCCTTTCCTTCCATGATATTCTTTTCCCTAGTTTGAAGAGGGACAAAGGTTTTCTATTTAATTACACATGCTAATTAACTGAAGTGTATACATTCCTTCATTTTCTGGACCTTCTAACTTGAATACTGAACAAGCAGTGTATGTTAGATCGAGCTGCATGGCTGGTGAGTGGTGGGGCCACTAGGGAACACATCAAGCCAATTCTGTTTCAATTACATTGGCTACCAGTTGCTGCCCGGGCCCAATTCAAAGTGCTTGTTTTGACATATAAAGCCCTAAACAGCTGTAGGGCCGCCTCTTTCCATATGAGCCTACCTGGCAGTTAAGATCTAGCCATGGGGCCCTTTTGAAAGAGCCATCCTTCAAGGAGGTAAGAGGGATGGCTTGTAGGCAAAGAGCCTTTTCAACAGCTACCCCCAGACTATGGAACGCCCTCCCGAGGGAGATTCGTCTGGCACCGACACTGATGACATTTTGGTGCCAGGTCAAAACCTTCCTGTTCCAGAAGGTTTTTAATTGAACTAATATCAACTGTGGGTCCTGATGGCAATTTTCTAGAGTATATATATTACAGTGGTGCCTTGCTTAACGAAGTTAATTGGTTCCGAAAAAACATCACTATGGGAAAACATCGCTAAGCGAAACACGTTTTCCCATAAAGATGCATTGAAAACCGGTTAATCCATTCCAATAGGAACAGATTGCCGTCCTTAAGCGAAAATCGCCCTAGGAAACATCGCTAAGCGATACAATGTTTCCCCCATTGGAATGCATTCAATGCATTTCAATGGTTTTGCGATGTCCATTTTTGCAATTTTAAAAGTGTCTTAAAATGTTCAAAAACTGTTTTAAATGCTTGGAATCATTAGTGCACCTTCTA